CTTGGGCACTTATCACCGTCCCCGCCCCGAAATTGATCGAGGATTGATTTTTGAATATCATCCCCGTTCCGTCGAGGGTATTTCTCGAGGAAAACCCGTTCAAATCGGGATCGGGAGATCGGGTCCCCGTCGGGTCGGTTTCAAATTGCCATCCCTACATGGGATTGCTAGTCCCCATATTCCTAATCCAATGTCCATGATTATTTCTCTAAATAAACATGATTCTTGTAGCTCCCACGAGATTGGTAACTAACCCATGGGCTACGAAGGAAAACAAATAAGGTCTTAGATTTTGACTAAGTAGCAATTTGGTCTATTTGCTTAGGGTTATTTTATTTACACACCATCAATTCTTTTAGTACAAACTATTTACTCAGTTCACACCGCATACAAATTAAAACTTTTGATTTTATCTCAATACACACCACTAATTTTAAAATAATATTAAATTACCCTCATCTTCTCCAACAAATCCTAACCCTAACTCTTGCCCACCGCCGGCTGTCAGCCACCGACTACCAACCCTAACCTTTACCCAACCCCTCCAATTTATGGAGGTTGCTTATCTTTTTTTGAGATTTTATGATATCGCTGTACTGAATTGATAAGGTCTTTTATTAATTTTATAGTGAATATTTTATTATTTTTTCAAAAAAAAAAAGAAAAAGAGAATGGCATTGATGCAAAAATTTTATTATTAGTGTCTCATTAATAGAAATGACATTATATTTATGGGGAGTCTTACACATATACATAATTTTCATTCCATAAACATCGGTAAGAGATGAAATAAATCTAATGGTACAAAGTTTTTACCAAAGTGATAATCAATTTTTTCCAAAGTAATGTGTAATTGCTCATAGCATTGGATTGTATATTGTCTTGTCATAATTTAGCAATAACATCAACCTTGGAAAGTTCAAATGTTTTGATTTTGCTAAAAGGTTAGTCGAATTGCAAAAGCAGTCAGTTGTTCCAGCAAATTGTGATTCCAAGTGAAAGACAAGGAAAGGTGTAAAAATAAAAATAAAAATAAAACCAAAATTCCTTATTTTGTTGGTTTAGTTGATTAGTAATGCAAGGATCAAAAATTGAAAAATATCAAGAAAAAATAGTTTATTTTTCAGATTAATAGAATAATTTTTGTGTTTGAATTCTTGCTCCTAATATTATTTTTTAAGAAGATTGCATTTTTTTTTTATTTATATATATTCTCCAAAATGATTTTTTTTTGATAATTTGGTTTCGGGGAGATGGTCTATTTGTAACTGGGTAGGGTTTTGACCTCAACCTTTTACCCGTTACGAGGTCTCCTCAACCTGACACAAAAGTTGCAAACCAACATCGTGCCTATTTGGCGCAGTTTAAAAGCTGCTTATTTCAGCTTTCAGCTTAATTTAAGTTATTTTGATGTGTTTGGTTTAGCTTAACAATGTAGTTTATAGCTTTTTGTAAGTCAGAAATCAGCTTATTCTTTGAGTGAGGCAGAAGATACTTAATTTATAAGTCAGAAATCTGCTTATGTTCATAGTTATAAGCTATAAGCTGTTAAGGCATAAGCTATAAGCACTTTCCCACAGCTCTACCAAACAGGGCTGTCGTTGTTGTTGTTAGAGGGTCGCGGTTGGATTATAGCCAAATTTTTTTTAATTGGCCATCTGTTTATTAGATGTGTGGATTAGAAAAAATTAATGCATATCCGTTTATTAAATTGACGGTTGCGGATCAAGTAAATTGACGGATAGATGCGAGTCGGTTTGATAATTTAAATTTTTATAAGTTTTGAATATAACACAATAAATTATCAATATATTTTTTTTTGGATAATAATTCAACTCAACATAACTAAAAGATTATTAAATAAATTGTCAAATAACAATAATAAATACATATAAGAAAATAATATATTATCAAAGTTATTTCATTACTTTTTTTTTATTCAAAAATTCATTTAATTTGATTTTTTTTTAAAATGACAAAATTAAACCTAATATTTTTCACACAAAAATATCAAATATCAATCTTTGCCATTTGATAAAAGGATTTCCAAATTAAAAACAAATTGAAAACACAACAGAATATCTAAATTCTTTTTCAATTAAAAACACAAATAAAATATCTAAACAAATTAAAAATATAAAATCTTATAAATTATTAGGAATGCTCGTAGTTTGACGGTTTAATTGAGAACAAAAGAATCTCGAATCTACCGTCCGTCCAAAACTTGACAGATTAAAAAAAATAAAGGGTAAATTACACTGACACACCTGAGGTTTATATTTATTACTGTTCCCCCCTCACTTTTTGGAAATTACATCTCCCTGAATTTTAAAGTTTCATTACAGATTCCTTTCTTAGCAATTTAATTTTTTTAAATACCAATTTTGCCCTCACTGAGTAAATTACATTGACACCCTTCACATTTTAGAAATTACAATCCCCTTCTTAAGGTTTAAAGTAGCATTATCAATTGCCCCCTTGGTTAGTATTAGTTGCAAAAAAAAATAATTGAAAAAAAATATTATTTGAAAAAAAATTAATTGAAAAATTTTTGTTAGCAAAATTTTTAAATTTTTGTTTAAAAACCAACGTAAATTCATTTTTCGAATTTACGTTTTTTTCCTTAAATTTGCAAATTGTGACAACAATTTATAAACCAAAAAAATTATCAAACAAGTTTTTATAACAGTTTTTTAAAATTTTTGTAAGTATAAATTGAAAACTGAAAATGAAATGGTTACCAAACAGGACTCAGATGGTAAAAATGTCGTAAAATTAATAAATAATTAAATAAGTTACCAACGTAACAAATGACTTGTCAAAAGATTCTTAGGTTATGTATAGTTTGATTTTTAGAATTTTTTTTAAAAAAATTAAAAATTAATTTGGTTAAGAAATAAAAAACAAAAAATAATTATCATTTAAGGATAAAAAATAATTATCATTTTAGCTTCTGGGCAAGTTATATACATACGCATGGCTGTTTCAATTTAATATGTAAAAATTATTTCTAACCATCCGAAAGATAAAAATTATATAAAAATGATAATTATTTTTTATTTTTTATTTCTTAACCAAATTAATTTTTAATTTTTAAAATTTTTTTCTAAAATCAAACAATACATAGCTTAAGAATCTTTTGATAAGCCATTTCTTACGTTGGTAACTTATTTAATTATTTATTAATTTTACGACATTTTTACCATCTGAAACTTGTTTGATAACCATTTCGTTTTTAGTTTTCAATTCATATTTATAAAAATTTAAAAAACTGTCATAAAAACTTGTTTGATAATTTTTTTAATTTATAAATGGTTATCTCAGTTTGTAAATTCGAGGAAAAAATATAAATTCAAAAAATGAGTTTATGTTAGTTTTTAAACAGAAATTTAAAATTTTGACTAACAAAATTTTTTTTTTCAATTAATTTTTTTTAAAATATTTTTTTTCCCAATTAATTTTTTTTTAATGAATTTTTTTTCCAACTAATGGGGGGCAATTGGTAATGCTACTTACCCTAAAATGTGAGAGATGTCAATGTAATTTATTCAGTGAGAACAGAATTAATATTTAAAAAAATTAAATTGCTGAGAAGAATCTATAGTGAAACTTTAAGTTTAAAAAAAAAAGATATAATTTCTAAAAGTTGAAAGAGGGGATTATAATAAACATAAATCTCAGCGTGATGACGAGCGGACGGTTGCGGGTTGATTCTTTCCAATCCGCCAATTTGGCAGATGGATGGCGGATTTGAGATTCCTTTGGCCGCAACTGAACCGCCAAACCGCGAGCATCTCTAATAATTATAAGACTTTATGTTTTCAATTTGTTTAAATATTTTGTTTGTATTTTCAATTAAAAAGGAGTTTAAATATTTTATTGAAAAAAAGTTTTCAACTTGAATATATTTTTTGAAGTGAAAAAAATAAACGTATTATTTATCTATATTTTTTGGTTTTTAAATTTAATTCTAAAAATAATAAATAGAAAATATGATATATGCTGGTTGGTTTTTGTTTTCAAAAACATATATAGGTGTAACAATGCAGAGACATACAATTTCTACTATTGCCCTGTTCATGATTTTGGTGGTTTGAATTGTTATTATATTTTAAGAACCACAGATTGTAATACTTTATGTGGATTAATCATGCTGTGATTATAATATGTGAATGAGCCATACAGTGATTGTGATATTCTAAAGTTTCAAACTTTCTTTTTTTGGATGAGACATACTGTAATTGTAATAGTTTTTTAAGTTATTAATTGTAATACTTTGTTTTCTTTTCTTTTTTGAGGAAGTGCACAAGTTGAATTATATTGAAAATTTATAAAATCTTAAACCACCAAACTGATTCGTATTCATCCGCTAAACCGTCAATCCGCTCAATTCACATCTGTCGAATTGACAAACAGATACGAATTAATTTTTTCCAATCCACCAATCTGACGAGGAACGATTGACAAATTAAAAATTCCGTCGCCGCAATTGAACCGCGTCCAACCCTAGTGTAATTTACCCAAAAATAAATTTACAATCTGTCAGCTTATTATCACGCATCTATTCTGGGACAGATCGGTTCGGTTGAACACTGATCAGAATATCCGCTGACCTTAGTGGCTGCCTTTTAAGCTTCGTCTATGCTCTCGTGGTGGCTATAGCCTTCAACCACCGTTCGCCGCCACACTCCGCCGTTGAATGGCCGAACCCACCGCCACCATAACCACACTAAGAACCCAAATTTGACAGATTAGGGCGGGGCGGGGGTTCCTTTTTCCAAATTAACTTTATACGTATACATATATCTATCTGCCCCAAGCGTGCCGTGCAGAGCAGTGCTTGTTTCTTCTGAAGTAGAGCTTTCTCGCCTCTCCAGTAATGGAATTGGAATCAAATTACGAAATTTCCCGCACTGCCAGTTTCATCCGCAGCCGCAACTTCACTAGAGTCGCTTTGCAGGTCATATTTCTCTCTCTACTACCCTTGCAATTTTCTTGTATAAACCTCAAAAGCCCTAGCAAAATTATTACTTCTTTCTTTTTTCTTTCCCTCTGTTGGGTTACGTAGAAAACTGGCACTCTGTTTGGGAATTTAGTAAAGAAAAGAAAAGAACTGATTAGATAAGTTAGAAGAGAAAAGAGAAGAAATTGTTTGAATAAATAGGAGAGAAAGGTAAAGAAAAAAAAAATCATGTTATATTACCCAAATAATTTTTTGTAGGTGCTAGTTTGTGGTGTTATTTTATTTATTTATTTTTATCTAAAGTCATTTTTCCCCCCAAGTGGAAGGACTGAAAATGAGGGTTATGAGGGAAATGAATTTCTCTCAATTCATCCCATCTCTTTACTAATCCAAAACAAGTGATATGAACAAAGAGAAATAAGTTTCTTTTATTTTCTTCCCAAATCATGGGATGTGAATGTAAAGAAAACAAAAGGAAATAGACTGGGCAATTCTTCATGTGAGAGGTTGTTTTAATTACTGGACTCTGAATGTTTCAACTGAACTGAACTGAATGAATTGGGTTTCTTTTTTTTTTTTTAAACAGTTCCTTCCTACATTTTCCTTGCCAACCAACAGCAGGGTTAGTCTTCTGTTTGGCTGATGTGAAAACAGAAGTGAAGAACATAAAATTGAACTCTAGATGTATTGTTGATTTGGTATTTAAAACGTGAAACCTCGACTTGACGTAGTCTATTAGGTGTAAGTTTCTTGTGCTTCAAACAGAGGAAAATCTAGGATTTGGAACCTTCTACCTCACCCTAGCCATTTTCTAGTTTTTTCGAGGTATCCACACAGGATATGTTATATTTGTTTTGATTGCTTGATTATTTGAATATGAGTTATTGAAGGATTCTACAAGAGTCGTGAGTGCTCTGCGTAATAAGCTTTGTTCTAGTGAAGATAATGCAAGTGATAAGGATGTTGGGTTGTATGTAATGGCAGATACAACTTATGGCAGTTGTTGTGTTGATGAGGTTGGGGCATCTCACATTAATGCGGACTGTGTCATTCATTACGGACATACATGTCTTAGTCCGTAAGTAGCGTTTGATTTTTCCTTTTGTTAACTTTGAAAGTTTGGAAATAATGAGGCTTATTAATTTTATTGTCTGTGTTGTTTAAGTGGCTGAACCGTAAATTTCATAGGTTTACTTGTATTTAAATTATTCTTTTTTGGGTGCTACAGGACATCAACTCTTCCTGCATTATTTGTTTTTGGGAAAGCTCCAATTTGTGTATCTAACTGCTCAAAGAATTTGTCAAACTATGCATTGACCAGTGGCAAGCCTGTTGTGGTATGTCAAGTATTTTTGTTTTTGGGTTCTTTGATTAACTTCTTTGGCAACATGCGTTTAAAACTTTTAAGACTTAATAACATGGAATTCATTGTTATCAAGACAAGCTTGAGCAAGTAGTCTATTATGAATTTATGCAGTAAATGACCCTGTACAATATCCACTACAGAAGAATTGCTTTGATAGCATGTCAATGTGATGTTGCAGTAGGAATTGTGGCATTTTGGTTTTATAATCTTTTGTTCTAATAGAAAGATTTTTCTTATGGATTAATATTTTAGGGAGAATTACACCTCAGTGTGTTTTTTCAAAAAAAAAAGAAAAAAAAAAATTCAAACTAATGATAAAGTTTATAAATATTAATAATTAAATTCATAAACTTTTTCACTAATCTGTAAATATTTTTTCAAAACCCCACTAATGTGTGGTTTCCCAAATATTTTATCATTACTGTTGCTTTGTTCATAGCTCAGATGTGGCATAGTTGGATATAACTCAGATGTGCCGCTTTACATAGTTGTGGTTGATTACAAATTTGTTTATATTCATTGACAATTTTTTTTTTTTTTCTTAAGTTGTGTTCTCCTTCAGGCTTTACATAGAAATCTGCTCTAAAAGATGTATTCTTTTCTTTTCACTGTTGACATGTTTGTTGTTATACTCGTATAATGTAGCCTGCTAAAAACCCAACTTTAAATTTGTTATTTGTCAAAAAAATAAAAATAAATACCCAACTTTAAATTTCTGCTGCTGTCAAGCACAAAAAGAAAAAATAATCTGTTGCAGTGGCTAACTGTCTTATCTTTCTTTGTTCAATTATTTTCCCTGAAATGCAGCTCCTTTTTGGACTGGAATATGCATATGCAATACAGGATATTAAGGAAGCATTTACAATTGAATCATCAAGACCACATGGGTCAACATCCAAATTAGAATTTTATTGTGCTGATGTTATTCGTTCAGTTATGGATCCATCTGAAAATGTCAAAACTTCCAGTGGGCACCTGGGGTTGGATGGTAGCCTTGCTACTGATCAAGGTTCTAGCAACACAATTTGTACACTACATAGCATTGGCGGCTTGTCTTGGAGTTTACCTGAGGGACGTAGAATAGAGGACTGTTTGATTTGTTGGGTTGGTGCTGACAATGCAGCCTTCGCAAATGTTGTTCTGACATTCAATGGATGTGAAATAGGTACCGGATCCTGTGTTTTTTAACTTTATTCCAAAGCTCTCCCATGTACGAAAAAAAGCTTTCCCATGCTACTCTTTTTAAATTTTTTATGTAAATACAATCTCAATTCCAAAAAATGTATTAAAATGAGGCAAATGGCATTTTTATAAATCTATTGCTTAAATATGCTTTCCTTAAACTGTGTGGATGGTCAACCATGCCACTTAAAATGGGATGGAGATAGTTACTACTGAGTTCTTGTGTGTCTGCATATCCTTTGGGCCTGTCTGTCTTTTAAAATTTGATTTGCTTACACATTCATGCTGCTAACTTTTCTACCTTTATTTCCTGTCCCTAATATGATTCACTATTTCTTTTTTATTTGGAAAAAATCTATGCATTCAAGCTGCGTCGTTATTACCCCTGCCCCTTTCTTTTATAGTCTGTTATTGTTACTAGTTTTGGAGAAAGAAAGGTTGATTCCCTATCTATTTTAGTCATTGGCCGTTGAAATATTGTGATTGATTTTTTCTACCCTTGATATTAATTTCCAGATCAGATGAGCATGATGTCTTGTCTATTTAACTTGTCCTCTATCTAATTTTGTTGGCACTGGCCTCAGTCAGATATGATGCAGCAGAAAATCGCTTAGTGACTGATGTATCTCACCAGAGAAGGATTCTGAAGCGTAGGTATTATTTTTAACATATTCTTATCCATTTCTTCCCTTTGAAGTTAAAACTCGTTTATGGCATATTGCATGATATGGTTGCCTATAGCATTGCCTTTGTTGAATTTTCTCATACTATTTTGTTGTCTTATCAAATCTTTTACTTTGTGCATAATGCTTATGCAGATATTACCTGGTTGAGAAGGCAAAGGATGCTAACATTATTGGGATCTTGGTAGGAACTCTTGGTGTAGGTATGTTCTAAGATACTTCTACTGTACTTTACTGTTCTATGCATTGATATTAGTTTCATCTTTTTGCTAAGCTTCAAAGCTTCACGTTTTGAATTCATACTTGTGGCTTGCTAACCACGCTCCAAATAAATTTTTTGGCTTTGTTGCATGCATTCATTGCTAAAAGTAACGAGTAAAAGCAAAAAGGATATTTACAATGCTTTGGAAATAATAATTCTGATCACTAATTTAGTTTTTCTCCTCAACACCATGCCTGAGGCTAAATGAAGTAAACCTGAATGAATTGCATTGTTACTGCTGTTGCATTTTAGAAGTGATTTTACAGCTGCCATGTTAGTCGTGTTTACTATTGAATACAGCACCCATGATCTGTCAATTAGGTTATATTTTTTTTGTAATTTGTGTTCAGAATGGAATTTATTCTTATGAAGTCCATAATTCTTCACAAACTAACCTTTATTGGTATTTTTGCGAATTATTTTCTATTCGCTGATTGTTTGAAAAAATCAACCTCAGACAAATTGATAAGACCTGTTAATTTTTCCTTTTCAGTAGCATACCTTCAGATAATTTTATGATTGTATATCTCTTTTCATGAGATAAATTCAGTTTTCTCTTTTATGTAATTTATTTATCTCTCTGAGCATGAATCATCTTACTTTCTTGAAGATTGACATTTTATTTTAAACTCTTGATGCAGCTGGTTACTTGCACATGATTAATCAGATGAAGGGGTTGATCACCAGAGCTGGAAAGAAAGTCTATACTCTTGTTATGGGAAAACCGAACCCTGCTAAACTTGCCAACTTTCCGGAGGTAAACTTTGATGTATGCAAGCAGATGATTTTCTGTTTTCGCTAGAGATTATAATACAAAGTGCTGTAACAAACTTTCTTCTTTCTGCAGTGTGATGTCTTCGTTTATGTTTCTTGTGCACAAACTGCTCTTTTGGATAGCAAAGAGTTCTTATCTCCTGTTATTACCCCTTTTGAAGCGATGATAGCTTTCAGCAGGTATTGCCAGAAAATTCCCCTATTTATTAGTCAAATTTTTAGTTAATGGTTCTTAACTCCATCTTAACCCGTTCAGTCTTTCAAACCATCTATTAGCAATTTGTTATAATCAGTTTGGCCTCATCGCTTTTCTGCTAGTCTAGTTTTTTCTGCAATAGGCACGTGTGCAAAAAGAATTTGCTTCCACGCATTGTCAGTAATCCACCACATGTTCTGATATGTATTTGATTTTGTTTTTTTTTTCTTCTATAAGCATCTTGCAAAGCTGAAACTCACATCATCTATAATATGTCTATTTTGATATTTTAGTTCAATTCACCTATCATGTTTCACAAATTTAATCTGATTGGATGCCTCAAATTTGTGAGAAATCTTTATCCTAGATACTTCTTTGTTCCACAAATCTATGAAATAACTTATCAGAGAATATATCTATGTAGTTAATTTGTTTCTGCCTACTTTTTTATTTACCTGAAGGGAGTCCCATTATCCCATACAAGTTTGCATTTTGCAGATCCAAATCTTCTCCATTACGTAGTTGTGATAGAGGATCTCTATTACATCATCCAGTGGTTCTCAAATAGTCGTATCAAGTTATCATTATTTCAAATTAAGAAAAAGTCATTACAACAATTGAATTTTTTTTCTTTTTTATAAATATATTATTATTATTATTATCATTTTAAAACTATTAGATGATGTAATGTAGAGGATCTCAATCCACATTTTGCAACTTGAATGTGGAGAAATTGATTTGTAGCAATATATTTTGGTGCAAAGTCCATTAGCACTTGGATGTATAAATGGCAGCTTAGTGCACAAAGATCCCACCACTGGGATCTGTGAAGGGATAGATGTACGCCGCCTTCCGCATGTGGAGAAGCTGTGTTTCGTACTGATGAATGGAAATAAGGAAGTAGAGTAAAACTTGGGGATTAGATTAGATGCTCAAAACAATAAATTAGCTGTGTGGGAAGGGAGTGCTTGTCTAAAATGCGTGCTTAAAGCATTTTGGCTGTGTTTGGTGGAGCTTTCCAAACATGATTCCACACCTTGGTTTGAGTGCTCTGTTTGTTTACAATTTTCAAAAATTGATTCCACACCCACTTTTGAAAACATGTTTACCCAGTTATCCTCCCGGATGTTCTCCCAGACGTCCGGCCGGTTGACCAAAATAGTGTTAGTGTTTTTTTTTTTGGGCACTTGTTATTTTTATATTTTAAATAAAAAATATTTTTGGAATTTTTTAAAATTTTTTTATGAGCTTTGAATAGAATTTTGGGTTGTGTGTTTGGTTGTGAGTTGTAAGTTTTTGAATCAAATATCATGTCACATCACTCAATTCAAACTAAATTCAAAACTCTTTTCAAAACTCATAACCAAACAAATTTTCCACACTCAAATCATAATTCTAAAACTCACAAATTTAAAATAAAACTCTATTTTCAAATTATAATTCTAAAACTTTACCAAAAGCTACCTTTGATTCTCTACAATTATTGTATTTCATCAATATCCTTGCTTAACATATTATTTTTTCTTTTTCTTTGTTTATGATTTTATTCCCCAGAGGAAGTCAATGGACAGGAGCTTATGTGATGGAATTTCAGAATTTGATGACTTCATTTCCAATGGAATTAAGAGACCAATTGGAAGAAGCACGATTTTCATTCCTTCAAGGTGGATATGTAGAAGATTTTGAACTGGAAGGTAACTTGTTTGCTCTTTTGGCATCATTGTCTGTAGTATTAATGAGTTGTTTGGAAATAATTAAGAGAAGCCATGGTAGAGTCATTCATGATTTATTCAGACTTGGCAAAAGAGTGAGAAACAATTAAAAGATTGGTAAAACTTCTTATTATTTATTTTATAATGTTTTTGAATAAAAAGACTAAATTTCTTCTAAATTGTACCGAAAGGTGACATAGCTTGAAATTATCTCATGCAAAATAGTTTAAGTTGCCATAAGATGCATCTGAATTAGCTATAAGCTAAATAAGTAGGGGACTAGAATGTCTCCTCCCTCTTGGAATTATTCTATTTTTCATTTTGTTTTTGAATATTGAATCTCCTTCTCTTTTAGATTTCTTTTCTTTCCTTCTTATTTTCAAGAGTATTTGTAGAGGGTTGGTCATTTTGGTACCATAGTAGGTCTAAGAATGAGAATTTACTTATGAATACATTGTTTCAATTTTTTTGCTCAATTTTTATTTGCAAAGATGCTTTCAAATAAAAAAAAGGGTTCTGTGAACATATGGGCTTTGTATTTTATAATGGATTATAATGAACTGTTTATTTTACTGTTGTTAACTGCAATTTTGAACTTCGAGGTCAGGTTTTCCAACAAGAGGAGATTGATGTATCTTTTACTGTAACCTTGAGAATATGCAATGGCAATTGATTTTGGTCGTTAAAGTTATATTGTACTTTTATGAATTTCCAACAAGAGGGTATTGATGCACCTATTTTTGCCAATATGGCAATTTTGTTCTTCAGGGTTGTGAAGAAAGAACCTGCACAGAAACCCACTTCATACCTCAAATTATTTAGCTGTTTGTTTCCTTTAATATATCCCTTTCCTAGATCAATAAGGATTATCCGGTGATAAATGTTGTTTACAATAAAATTATTTATATTGATTGTCCCTGCCTTATTGATATGGCCATTTTAGTTTTTAGATTAGAAAACACTCTCCGAAAGGCAGAGGGAAAATCTTTATCAGGCGATTATTTATTTTTCTACTTGTTTTCCGTGTCCATTAATTTGCTCGATGAAAACTCTCTGTCTTATTTATTTATTTATTTCCTATTTTTCTGTAGGTAAGACGGATAAAATCATACATCACCCAAATTTACATTCTTGGTTTTTTTTCTACATACAGGAACATGGTAAATGTAATTAATGTTTCTAATATTTCGAATATTTGAATGTGTGGGTTATCAGAGACCAGTGAGGAAAATGAAGATGGAACTCTTGCCTTAGTGAAAGCAACAGAGAAGGCTCTTCAGGTGAGCGACAAGGACCCTAAATCTATAATCAAGGGAACAGTTAAATCTGGGGCAGAGTATCTTGCATCTCGATCTTATCGCGGTCTTGACATTCAAAGCAACAGTTCCTTGCCGGAGCCCTTTTTAATTGGTAGAACCGGGAAGGCTTCAGGGTATGAGGATGAGAAAAGCAAGCAAGAGAGCTTGTCATGACTCTGCCTTGGAAAACTGTGAGTGTGTGTGTGTGAGAGAGAGAGAGAGAGAGGGAGAGAGAGAAAGAGAGAGATGGGAAAGATCACCCAAAGTTGTCAGTTTTTTTCTTTTTCTTTTTTTTTTTTTTTTTTTCGGGGGGGGGGGGGGGGTGCTTTTGGGACCAGTTTGTTTGTTTATGTTGAATTTGGGAGGAAAGAAAATATTAGGGTTTATTAAAATTGAATATGCAAAACAGTGTATTTGGTTGACAATGTCCAACTTTGAAGCATGAATAAAGTTAGGCCATTTACAAATGGTTTGGTCAATTGTTTCCTTTATATTGATTGGCCAATTATAAATGTTTGGTCAAAGAGCATTTATTTGAGACTCAGACAACTAAAATTAATCACATGGAGTTGTGGTCTTCTTAGCTCATGATTTTGCCAAACTGCCGATGATTTTGTCAATTCATGCATTCTCTAAATTCTATACCCCTCATCACTCATTACAATCACTCATTACAATAATCAAATCAATTGTTAAAAAAAAAAAGAAAAGTCAATTAACTTTCTAAACATAATTATTTTAACCAACCTAAAATAAATATTTTAAAAAAAAACCACCAAAAAACTAACTAAAATAATTGACTTTCTAAATAAGGCCATAATATGTGGAGGGAATTACTCCGTCAGTGCCCAATAAATTCAATCATCTTAGTTTTTCAAAATATAAAAGTCAAAACATAGAATAGAAGAGTTTGCTCTGTTCTATTGGTCTAGACAGAAGTAAGTTCTTCTCTCCTGCAATGGAGAGGTTATCCACTATTCTTGGGACATGGTGAAGTGGCCTTATGCCGATAACTTATTTTTTTGCTCTTGAGATAGTTTCATGTGATATTCATTGATCAAAATTCTAGGATATAATATTTTTTGTTAGGTTTATAGGGAATAACTTGATTATGTGTCAAGTGATAAATAGTGCAGAGCAATATTCCAAGACACCTAAATAATTATTCCCTTATGCCTCAAGAAGGTTATGATAGGTTCATGAGATATAATCTATAATTTTGTATTAAGATATGATAAAATAGTAAGAGACATGACAATCAAAAATTGATCGATAACAATAACACGTGGTATCCTAAAACACCTTATAATTGTTGCCATCGCTTATCTCTTAGCCTAAACTGTTATTGTCTTTTGACTTGCATAATTGGGACTTTACAAAGTCCAAAGATGATGGCAAGTGGGTGGTGGTGGTGGTGAGAGACGTTTGGTGGTGATTCCTGTTTGAATTAGTTGATATACACAACTATTTGAATGGTCCAATGGAGTGGTTGGCCACTAAAAAACATAATATTAATTAAAAAAATAAAAGGAAAAAGATAAATGAAAACTTAATAAGGTAGTTTATTATGTCGTATTTGGTAAAAATAGCACAATGCTCTTAAATTGTGTATAGATGGCTTTTATATTTCACGGACAGTTTCACTGGTTTAGGGCATGGGTATTTGGGAGGGAGGGAAGGGTAGGGCATTAGGGTTATTCGAGAGATTTCACTGATTTCAAAAAAAAAATAGAAATTATAGTTAAAAGGTTTAATGAAATACATTTGAATATAATTTTTTTGGTGTATACGATATTACCAAAGTGAATTCTAAGCATGTACTACCAAGACTACATGGATGTGCCCAAGGTAGTATGCTCAATCAGAAAACGCTAATGCTGGTATGGTATCATTTATAAATTAATTTTTATGGTTATTATTTTTGAGATTAATAGTTTAAAAAATTATAAACAAATGTAAATTTATTTAATGTAACTTTTGATTATGATAATTTGTATTAAAAAAAAAATCTCTACTTTTTGTACATCTTTTCGTAAAAAGTCAAAAAGTCATCCCAAACATACTAGTTTTTTTTAGCTCATATTTTAGCCAAATAGCCAAAAAGTTACTAAATTAGCCTGTTCCCAAACAAGGCCTAAGCATGTACTATCAGGACTACATGGATGTGCCCAAGGTGGTATTCTCAATCAGAAAACGCTAATGCTGGTATGGTATCATTTATAAATTAATTTTTATGATTATTATTTTTGAGATTAATAGTTTAAAAAATTATAAACAAATGTAAATTTATTTAATGCAACTTTTGATTATGATAATTTGTATTAAAAAAAAAATGAACCCATTTTGTTAAATAAACTCTCACAATTTTTTATTATTTTTATTTTTTATTTTATTTTTTTGTGCGTGCATTCCCTTAAAAGTTTTTTTTTACACCAAGTGATGAGTCTCTTTTGTCTATATGTATATAAGGATTTCAAATAAATTAAAGTTAGAAATTATAATTTTAAAAAATGTCACATTTTTTGGTCACATAAATTATATTTAAAATTGAAACCAAATACCATTAGTCAATTTTTTTTAGAAAAAATAAGTTAAATAAATTAACTTATAACTACTACTAAACCAACCCATTAGCTTCCAAACGGTTAAGGCTCTTCTTACTACAATTGTTAGATTATCAAGAAGCATGATTAATTGAACGATTCTAGAAACTTGAACCATCAACACTGGCTTTGAAATCTTGTAGTCTTGGAATAATACCTTTTCACTATTTAGCAAGTGACAATTGTTTTATTGTCTCTAAAAAATAAATATAAAATTAATTAATCTCACTGTTTTAACTAATTAGCAAGTAACAAAATTATATTTAAAATTGAAACCAAATACCATTAGTCAATTTTTTTTTAGAAAAAATAAGTTAAATAAATTAACTTATAATTACTACTAAACCAACCCATTAGCTTCCAAACGGTTAAGGCTCTTCTTACTACAATTGTTAGATTATCAAGAAGCATGATTAATTGAACGATTCTAGAAACTTGAACCATCAACACTGGCTTTGAAATCTTGTAGTCTTGGAATAATACCTTTTCACTATTTAGCAAGTGACAATTGTTTTATTGTCTCTAAAAAATAAATATAAAATTAATTAATCTCACTGTTTTAACTAATTAGCAAGTAACAATTATTTTATTGTTTCTAAAAAATAAATATAAAATTAATTAATCTCACTATCTTAACTAGCAATAGGGAAATTAAGACACCATGCATCTCATAATTTTCCATTAATTAGTTTTTGAATAATGCTATATGTACAAATTGATATACCAATTACAGTACTAACAGATAATGTGGTATAATTTTAGAGATTTTGAGTATTTGTAATTTGTATGATGGGTGAATCATAATTTTGAAATAAGAATGTCATAACATATATTGATACACTAATTTGTCCGCTGGTTCGCAGGTCGGTCGCGGTATTGGCATTCCAACCTCGACGCTTCCATGCGTTCGAGGAGCCAACCGTTGTAAGGCCGAAATTCGGTGTGGATCCCTTGCCCTGGCATCCTCCTTGCATCGGGCTTTTTCTTCGAGCAAGGTTCGTAAGTCGGATGACCTGGGCAGCTCTGTTTGTCTGGATCTGGTTTGGTGTGAATGTGAAGGCCAATACGATAATCTGTTGCAGTGGCTAACTGTCTTATCTTTCTTTGTTCAATTATTTTCCCTGAAATGCAGGTCCTTTTTGGACTGGAATATGCATATGCAATACAGGATATTAAAGAAGCATTTACAATTGAATCATCAAAACCACATGGGTCAACATCCAAATTAGAATTGTATTGTGCTGATGTTATTCGTTCAGTTATGGATCCATCTGAAAATGTCAAAACTTCCAGTGGGCACCTGGGGTTGGATGGTAGCCTTGCTACTGATCAAGGTTCTAGCAACACAATTTGTACACTACATAGCATTGGCGGCTTGTCTTGGAGTTTACCTGAGGGACGTAGAATAGAGGACTGTTTGCTTTGTTGGGTTGGTGCTGACAGTGCAGCCTTTGCAAATGTTGTTCTGACATTCAATGGATGTGAAATAGGTACCGGATCCTGTGTTTTTTAACTTTATTCCAAAGCTCTCCCATGTAGAAAAAAAAGCTTTCCCATGCTACTCCTTTTAAAATTTTTATGTAAATAGAATCTCAATTCCAAAAAATGTATTAAAACGAGGCAAATGGCATTTTTATAAATCTATTGCTTAAATATGCTTTCCTTAAACTGTGTGGATGGTCAACCGTGCCACTTAAAATGGGATGGAGATAGTTACTACTGAGTTCTTGTGTGTCTGCATATCCTTTGGGCCTGTCTGTCTTTTAAAATTTGATTTGCTTACACATTCATGCTGCTAACTTTTCTACCCTTTTTTCCAGTCCCTAATATGATTCACTATTTCTTTTTTATTTGGAAAAAAATCTATGCATTCAAGCTGCGTCGTTATTACCCCTGCCCCTTTCTTTTATAGTCTGTTATTGTTACTAGTTTTGGAGAAAGAAAGGTTGATTCCCTATCTATTTTAGTCATTGGCCGTTGAAATATTGTGATTGATTTTTTCTACCCTTGAAATTAATTTCCAGAGCATATGAGCATGATGTCTTGTCTATTTAACTCGTCCTCTATCTAATTTTGTTGGCACTGGTCTCAGTCAGATATGATGCAGCAGAAAATCGCTTAGTGACTGATGTATCTCACCAGAGAAGGATTCTGAAGCGTAGGTATTATTTTTAACATATTCTTATCCATTTCTTCCCTTTGAAGTTAAAACTAGTTTATGGCATATTGCATGATATGGTTGCCTATAGCGTTGCCTTTGTTGAATTTTCTCATTCTATTTTGTTGTCTTATCAAATCTTTTACTTTGTGCATAATGCTTATTCAGATATTACCTGGTTGAGAAGGCAAAGGATGCTAACATTATTGGGATATTGGTAGGAACTCTTGGTGTAGGTATCTTCTAAGATACTTCTGTTGTACTTTACTGTTCTATGCATTGATATCAGTTTCATCTTTTTGCTAAGCTTCAAAGCTTCACGTTTTGAATTCATACTTGTGGCTTGCTAACCACGCTCCAAATAAATTTTTTGGCTTTATTGCATGCATTCATTGCTAAAAGTAACGAGTAAAAGCAAAAAGGATATTTACAATGCTTTGGAAATAATAATTCTGATCACTAATTTAGTTTTTCTCCTCTACACCATGCCTGAGGCTAAATGAAGTAAACCTGAATGAATTGCATTGTTGCTGCTGTTGCATTTTAGAAGTGATTTTACAGCTGCTGTGTTAGTCTTGTTTACTATTGAATACAACACTCATGATCTGTCAATTAGGTTATATTTTTTTTGTCTAATTTGTGTTTAGAATGGAATTTATTCTTATGAAGTCCATAATACTTCACAAACTAACCTTTAGTGGTATTTTTGCTTAATTATTTTCTATTTGCTGATATTTTGAAAAAATCAACCTCAGACAAATTGATAAGGCCTGTTAATTTTTCCTTTTCAGTAGGGCTGGGCATAGGGTTATCCAACCCGCACAACCCGCCCTATCCGAGCCGAACCGCACATGTATGGGCGGTTTCGCAAATTGAATAGGGTAAGGTGCGGTTTGAAATATATAAGATTTTCAGGTTGCGGTCGGGTTGCGGTTTTGAACCGCACCAGTCACAACCCACCCGCACTTAGCCAAATATATATATATATATATATTGAAAAAAAAACATGGACCGTTCGTTCATTATCTAGATCTATCTATTCTATCCTATCTATTTCACATTGTTCAGATTACTCTCCCATTGTCTCAATGTAAGCTTGTTCCTTTCTCTTGCTATGTTCACCAATTGATAATTGGATGTTTCCACTATTGTGATAGTACACCCAGTTTGATCGCATAGAAAATTGAAAGAAAGGGAATAAATAAGGTTCAAAAATGGGATTTTGTTGTTTTTAATTTTATAAGTTTTAATTCATTAATTATTAATGTTGGAACATTTTAGAAAATTGAAAGAAAATGACTCGAAATAAATATTTACAAAATGGGAAAAAAATTCAAAAGTTAATTTTTAAAGAAAAAAATCTAAACCGCAAACCGTCCGCAACCGCCCGCACATATGCAAACCCTATACGCACAAACCGCAAACCGCACTGCAGGCGGTTGCGGTTTGACTTTTTCCCAAACCATATAGATGCGGACGGACCAAAACCGAACCGCAAACCGCACAAAACTGATCCACGAACACTCCTACTTTTCAGTTGCGTACATTTAGACAATTTTATGATTGTATATCTCTTTTCATGAGGTAAATTCAGTTTTCTCTTTTATGTAATTTATTTATCTCTCTGAGCATGAATCATCTTACTTTCTTGAAGATGACATTTTATTTTAAACTCTTGATGCAGCTGGTTACTTGCACATGATTAATCAGATGAAGGAGTTGATCACCAGAGCTGGAAAGAAAGTCTATACTCTTGTTATGGGAAAACCAAACCCTGCTAAACTCGCCAACTTTCCGGAGGTAAACTTTGATGTATGCAAGCAGATGATTTTCTATTTTTGCTAGAGATTATAATTCAAAATGTTATAACTAACTTTCTTCTTTCTGTAGTGTGATGTCTTCGTTTATGTTTCTTGTGCACAAACTGCTCTTTTGGATAGCAAAGAGTTCTTTTCTCCTGTTATTACCCCTTTTGAAGCCATGATAGCTTTCAGCAGGTATTGCCAGAAAATTCCCCTATTCATTAGTCAAATTATTAGTTAATGGTTCTTAACTCCATCTTAACTCGTTCAGTCTTTCAAACCATCTATTACCATTTTGTTATAATCAGTTTGGCCTCATGGCTTTTCTGCTAGTCTAGTTTTCTCTGCAATAGGCACGTGTGCAAAAAGAATTTGCTTCCAGGCATTGTCAGTATTCATGATATGTGTTTGATTTTGTTTTTTTTTTTTTTTTCCTTCTATAAGCATCTTGCAAAGCTGAAACTCACATCATCTATAATATGTTTATTTTGATATTTTAGTTCAATTCACCTATCATGTTTCACAAATTTAATCTGATTGGATGCCTCAAATTTGTGAGAAATCTTAATCCTAGATACTTTTTTGTTCCACAAATCTATGAAATGACTTATCAGAGAAAATATCTATGTAGTTAATCTGTTTCTGCCTTCTTTTTTATTTACCTGAAGGGAGTCCTATTATCCCATACAAGTTTGCATTTTGCGGATCCAAATCTTCTCCATTATGTAGTTGTGATGGAGGATCTCTATTACATCATCCAGTGGTTCTAAAATAGTCGTATCAAGTTATCATTATTTCAAATTAAGAAAAAGTCATTACAACAATTGACTTTTTTTCTTTTTCGTAAATATATTATTATTATTATTATTATCATTTTAAAACTATTAGATGATGTAATGTAGAGGATCTCAATCCACATTTTGCAACTTGAATGTGGAGAAATTGATGTGTGGCAATATATTTTGGTGCAAAGTCCATTAGCACTTGGATATATAAATGGCAGCTTAGTGCACAAAGATCCCACCGCTGGGATCTGTGAAGGGTTAGATGTACGCAGCCTTCTGCATGTGGAGAAGCTGTTTCTATGTTTCGTACTGATGAATGGAAATAAGGAAGTGGAGTAAAACTTGGGGATTAGATTAGAGGCTCAAAACAATAAATTAATTGTGGGAAGGGAGTGCTTGTCCAAAATTCATGCTTAAAGCATTTTGGTTGTGTTTGGTGGAGCTTTCCAAACATGATTCCACACCTTGGTTTGAGTGTGCTGTTTGTTTACAATTTTCAAAAATTAATTCTACACCCACTTTGAAAACACGTCTACCCGGTCATCCTCTCGGACGTCCGACCAGTTGACCGGAACAGTATTCGTGTTTTTTTTTTTTTTTGGACACCTGTTATTTTTTTATTTTAAATAAAAAATATTTTTAGAATTTTTTTTTTTTAAATTTTTTATGAGCTTTGAATAGAATTTTAGGTTGTGTGTTTGATTATAAGTTGTAAGTTTTTATATCAAATATCATATATCACATCACTCAATTCAAACTTAATTCAAAACTCATAACCAAACAAATTTTTCATACTCAAATCATAATTCCAAAATTCACAAATTTAAAATACAATTCTATTCTCAAATCATAATTTTAAAACTTTACCAAACGCTAGTTTTGATTCTCTACAATTATTGTATTTCATTAGTATCCTTGCTTAACATATTATTTTTTATTTTTCTTTGTTTATGATTTTATTCTCCAGAGGAAGTCAATGGACAGGAGCTTACGTGATGGAATTTCAAAATTTGATGACTTCATTTCCAATGGAATTAAGAGACCAATTGGAAGAAGCACGATTTTCATTCCTTCAAGGTGGATATGTAGAAGATTTTGAACTGGAAGGTAACTTTGTTTGCTCTTTTGGCATCATTGTCTGTAGTAGTAATGAGTTGTTTGGAAACAATTAAGAGAAGCCATGGTAGAGTCATTCATGATTTATTCAGACTTGGCAAAAGAGTGAGAAACAATTAAAAGATTGGTAAAACTTCTTATTATTTATTTTATAATGTTTTTGAATAAAAAGACTAAATTTCTTCTAAATTGTACCGAAAGGTGACATAGCTTGAAATTATCTCATGCAAAATAGTTTAAGTTGCCATCAGATGCATCTGAATTAGCTATAAGCTAAATAAGTAGGGGACTAGAATGTCTCCTCCCTCTTGGAATTATTCTATTTTTCATTTTGTTTTTGAATATTGATTCTCCTTCACTACAGGAAAAAGAGGCTTAGGCGGCGTTTTTTTAACGACGCATTTTTAAACGTCACTTTTTTTTAACATTTAACGACGTTTTTTAAAACGTCGCATATTTGTTCAACAAAACGACATCGTTTAATAATAGGAGGCGTTTGAAACGCCTCCGAATGTGTTGTGCCTCACGCGCTTGCGCTTGGCCTCCTCTTTTCAAAGCCTAATTTTGAATCTCAGACTAAGACCCAACTTTTCGAGCTCTCTCTCTCTCTAAATCTCAGAACGATTTCGAAGCTCCACCACTGTCTCTCTTTCTCTCTCTAAATCTCTCTCTCAACTCTCTCTAAACCCTTATCAGAGCCATTCAGAGATTCATCTCAGTGATTTCATCACAAAGATTCAGAGCGATTTCATCTCAGTGATTTCATCGCAGAGATTCAGAGATTCAGATCGGTCTCCACCATCTGCACCATCGTCTACATCATCATCTACACCATCGTCTCCTAAGGTGAGCTCCACCGTCTCTCTTTCTCTCTCTCTCTGAAGCTCTTCGTTCCCGTCTCTCTCTCTGTTTCAGTGATTGATGAGTTGTATATGCTCTAGTTAGCCCCAATCCAAGATTGATCCATATGAGGTTAGGGCCCGTGCTAAACAGGTTGTGCAAGATCAGCGCCGTCTGAAGGTTGGTCTTCCAATCTCAGTTTTATCGATTCTTCTCTCTCTCGATCTCTCAATCTCTCTCGATCTCTGTCTCTCTCGCACAATCTCGTTATATGCGTACACATTATCTGTATTTTTTTTTGGATAATTTTTTTTTCTCTTAAAAATCTCTCTATACAAGTATATATATGAATTTATATATGTATTGATTGAATAATCATCCTTTTTTTTGCCCTGGCTCAGACGAAGGGTCATCTCCTTTTCATCAAACACAAGATGAAAAATCTGACAAAATAAATTGCTCACTTTGAACAACATATTGATTGGATTTCCAAGTTGATGTAGATTGTTATTGTGACTTGTATATATATATAGTTGGTGGAATGTTGAAATTTGAGAACTTCGTTATTGTTTATGAACTACAAATAACTCATTTTGGATCAGTTGGAGTTGTAGGAGAAAAAGGGGCAGATGAATGTGTGGGTTTAACTGTTTCTGATTTAATGAAGTAACTGTTGAACATGATCTTGCGTTTGTCTCATTTTTTCTCCTCCAAATTATTTATTTCTAGTCCTCTCACTGCCACTAATACTATCTCATATTTGAGTTCATGGCCAGTAACCCCGTATATTCATTGTGCATGCCACATCTGTATCTGTTACTAACTGGACTATAATCTTCTGTAGGTCACTATGTTGTAATATGTGGCTATGATGCTATGACAGATGAGTTTGAGATTAGAGATCCAGCGAGCTCTGGGTACATCACTTGTTTTCCCTCTCCTTTAAACATCACTATCCACAAACATTCGAAAAAACAAAAAACAGAGCTGCCTCTTTTTTTTAGTTCTTTTTTTTCTTTTTTTCTTTGGTCATAAGAAGATAATTAACACCTAAGCATGTTGATTAAGTAAAAGAGTTGTGGAATCCTTTAGTGAATGCTTCTTGATGTGTGTTAGTTAATTTGAGAAAATACAGTGAAAAGGTTGGAAACTAGTCTTTTTCTTCCCCAGGATGTGTGTCTACACGTGCATGCACATTTAAATTTGAAATGTTTTGGGTCCATTTGAAGAAATCTAGTAAGTGTGAAGCTTTGTGCGAAATCTCATTAAAAGAAGCATCTTAACCAGAAGTTCACTATGTTTTGAAACTTTACCATGCCATAATGCACTGAGTTTTACAATTTGTGCAAATCTTTGCTTGAGCAATTGGTTTTGTTTATTGTAGTTTCCACTTTGGATGATTGTGCAGGAAACATGAGAAGGTCACATCAAAGCGCCTAGAATAAGCTCGCAAATCCTTTGGAATTGATGAAGATCTTCTCTTGGTAAATTTAATACATCTTCATAAATTATTCACTCTAGAGGGTATATCTTAAAGGATGGGATCTTCCTTTTATGATCTCATATTGTTTGAAATGTCTTGCTGGCTATATTTTTGTTATCGTGCATTGAAGGAATGGGAGCTATATTCATTTGAAAAGTTATAAAGGATGATACTGCAGATTTTCACTTTCTAGAATTCAGTGTGGCTGCCTGGAAAAGGATAAAAGGCATGAAAAATGAAGTAGCTATTCTCATGTTAAATACTTTGACATTTGTCGTGCCATCTTGTTAAGCGCTACGGGCATGTTCTTTGATGAAAAATGATAGTTGGGTAGTGTGGATCCTGATAAGTACTAGACACTAACTACTTGACTCCGAATTTGGAGTAAAGGTATTTTGGTATTTCCGCACTTGTGACTTGTTGCCCTGTTTTAATAACCTATGTTAGGAGGTCGTTGTGAGGAATTGTTACACCTAACCAAGATCAGTGAAAGATGAAACACAAATAAGAATAAAAACAAGAATCTAATCAAGCACACAAGAACACAAATTTACGTGGACTCCAAACTAGGGCCACGTCCACGGCTATTAGGTCTTTGTTTCTATTTTTCTTTTTTCTTCCCCTTCTTTTTATATGTATTTGTTTTCTTTGAAAGTACCGGAAGGAGGAGTGTCTTAAAAAACTAAAAAAAGCACCAACAAGAGAAGGTTGTTTTAGTGAAAATGAGAATTGGCAGCAGTAGCTGTACAAATGATTGCATTTCCCATTTTGGATTGTCCATGCAGATATCTTTGGATAAGGGAGAGAATCAAAACACCCATTCGGTGCAGCTCTCTTCGCTCGTCACTTTTGATAGATGACATTCTTGTATTTTGTTTACTCGTTCATCCATTCATTACATATATATATATATCATTATTTGTCGATGTATAATTTGCGCCTGTAGCCAATTTTAGTGTGAACTTATAGGATAATAATCCCTGTGTTTAGGTGTCCATGTATGTCTTAGTTCAAATTATTCAACTTAAATAATAATCGTATCTTTTTCTTTGGTGTCAAGAAGAACATGATTGGTTCTAGTGGATTAGATGATGATATACAGAACAATCATAAGGGGCTCCCATAAACTCCTAATTTTCAATTTCACTTAGTTATTTCTACAATATTTTAAGAGTTAGGAATTTGAAGGCATCTAAAAGCCCCAATGTCTTTATTTTGATTTTTGGTCATTTTGGTTGATCTTTTTAGTATTAGTATTGACAATTTAACAAAGATTCTATGCTATATCAGTTGAGTTCAGTGAATTTAGTAATAAGGACAAGACATTAAATTAAATCATAACTCATGGGGTTTGTCTTGATGTTTTTCCTATTGTTTTTTAGTTAATGGTGATTGGATATTAAATTGAATGGGAAAGTGAATTAATGATATATTTGCTAATTGACAGCTTTTCGTATAATCGGCTCTTTTTGACAAATGTTCATTTGAATGGAAATAGGAGTTATTGTTTTATGTTAGTGTTACTTTTTAATTTTATTACATGTAATTTTTTTAGTTTAACCACATAAAATTAGCATAATTTAAAAAAAAAAACAATCAAAAACATAAAAATGGCATTTTTCAAAACCCCACACTTAACAGTTAGTTTTTTAAAATTAAAAAAAGGCTACAGATTGTTATTGGTTTATGAATTGAAAATTTGTTATATTGGTGAAATTCTGAACCCTGTGATCAATACTGGAAAATTGCTACAGATTGTTATTGGTTTATGAATTGAAAATTTGTTATATTGGTGAAATTCTGAACCCTGTGATCAATACTGGAAAATTGCTACAGATTGTTATTGGTTTATGAATTGAAAATTTGTTATATTGGTGAAATTCTGAACCCTGTGATCAATACTGGAAAATTGCTACAGATTGTTATTGGTTTATGAATTGAAAATTTGTTATATTGGTGAAATTCTGAACCCTGTGATCAATACTGGAAAATTGCTACAGATTGTTATTGGTTTATGAATTGAAAATTTGTTGCATTTCCAGTGTTGAATGGACCCAATACAATAGTGGCTATATGATTGAAATACATGAAAACTTTCTGTGTAGTTGTTTTGTATTAATTATGGGAACTACATGTTTATCCTCATTGCATGTGTAAAAATCTCCATTTCAGGTTGCAGCATCCATGAAGAAGGGTGTGGATTCTCAGATCCCAAACTATCCAAATCTTCCCTCAAAGCTGCTATGCCTCCTTCACAATGTCACGTTGCATGTATAACTGGCTTTAATTAGCTTTCATTTCTTTTATGCAAAAACGGGTCAATAGTAGTAATTTCTTGTCATCAGCTAATTCAATCATGTTTATTTCCTAGGCGGATCTAGAAATGGACGAAGTATATGCTCAGATGACGCTTCAACCTGTTCCCTCTGTAAGGACTTGCTGCAATATTAATTGTTGCATTATCCTTGTAGTAAAACTATCCATAAAACAAAGTTGATCGATGAACAAAAAATGAAAAAGAAATTAACTGTTGCATTATCCTTGTAGTAAAACTATCCATAAAACAAAGTTGATCGATGAACAAAAAATGAAAAAGAAATTAACTGTTGCATTATCCTTGTAGTAAAACTATTCAATCATGTTTCTTTTCTTTTTTTTTAATAAGATAATTAGTCCCTTCTTACTTACTAATTATCTGATGGATTCTTAATTATTTCATGCCAGTGCAGCTTGAGGCTATTCCCATGTCTGTCCATTCTCTTTTGTTTAATAGAGAATTTGTATGTAATTCAATCTGACAATCCAGCATGATGGGCATTTTAACATGATGAGATGGAATGGAATATATTTCTAAACTTTGTAGTAGAATCATAATTCAGTGACATGCTTGTCTTTCATTAAACTTTGAGTAAGTTCTAGGTTATCTTGTGTATTGAAAAAAATATTGTCGGCAATATTACTTTTATGGTCATTAATATTTAAAATGTTGGAACTGATCATGAATGTTGCTTTCAGTTACACACGCGGGATCTTCCTACGACATTGACATGTCCTTGTGTGGTTGTCTTATTGTTGATTCCTTGCATCATTTTTAATACCTGAAGTTCCTCATCAATGGGGGATACGTATCCCAAAAAAAAAGGAAAAAAAAAAAAATTCTGCCATAGGCATGCTCGCTAAGATCAAAATGTCTCTGCTACTTGATTTGTCTATAATAGTTTAAAAAATGTGTCCCTTTTTGGTTTCTTAGCTCTTTTGTTAGAAGAATCAGCAGTAAATGTTAGTCTGAGAGTTTGATTTTGTTGCAGCATTAACTCTATAATCCAGAGTACTTAATTAATCATTGATATCTATATGTTGTACTGTTTTTCATTTTTCTGTTCACACATGTTATTTGGTTTTGTTACAGCCACTCGTTTCCGGGACACATCTGTTGTTGTGGTTACACTGGATTCTAGTGAAGTATATATTATTGTCAGCCTGTCTTCTAGGAGCGACACTCAGGTGATTTATGTTGACCCAACAACTGGAGCACTTTGCTATAATGAGAAACTGGGTTATGATGTTTTCAGCTCTCAAAATGAAGCTTTAGATTACGTTACAAATGGATCAAAGAGTCTTTGCAGGAGTATAATTTATGCCAGGGCAATATTGGGTTATGCAGCCCTGGGGAGTTTTGGGTTGCTTCTTGTTGCAACGAGGTTGACGTCCAGCATTCCAAATTTGCCTGGTGGAGGGTGTGTATATACAGTGATTGAGAGCCAATGGGTCAAAATTTCACTTCAAAATCCTCAACCCCAGGGCAAAGGAGAAATAAAGAATGTTCAAGATTGGCGCAGCTTGATATTGATGGCAAGCATTACTTTTGTGAAACAAGGGACATAACTCGGCCTTTTCGAGCCGGATGCCTTTGCACCAGCCTGATCATGAATTTGTTTGGAATGGATGGTTTTCAATGCCTTTCAAAAATATTGGTCTGCCACAGCATTGTGTCATTCTTCTACTTCCAGGTTGCAGAAATCCTTAAGGATCGGCCTTCGTGGTATTGCGATTGCCGAGCTGTGGATGTTCTAAATGTGCTGTTCTAAAAAAAATGTAGAGTGCTCGTTCTATAATTAATTTGCCCATTAATAGATTGTTAAATTAAGCATCCCAAGATAACAAATGCTTTCCACTTTGTTCTGGAGAGCAATTGTTATGAAATTTCACATATTAGCAAGTGAAGTAAATTAAGATAATTGTTGTATATAGGTCTATTAACGCAAGTCTTGCCCAATCCTTTTCTACTAGTTCGCTGTATTCATGTTCTCATTTCGAGCTTAACATTTCTTTATCTGATCTTGCTGTACACTTTTCCTATATTTCAGAATGTGCCCCCTGCAATACTACTTAGATTCCTGCGGAAGCACAGGTCAGAATGGGCAGACAGTAGTATCGATGCTTACTCAGCTGCAGCTGTTAAAGTTGGTCCCTGTGGCTTACGTTATAGTTGCTGTATTCGGCTATCATTCTCTCTCTTTTTTCTCTACTTTAAACTCTTCTTTGGACTTCCATTTATTTGATGAACTGGGACATTTTGTAGGAAGCTTCCAGTCCAAATCGTACCCTTGACCTTGCTTCTGCTCTCGAGATTGGACCGGCTGGAAATAAAGCATCTAATGATTATACTTCTAATGGTGGCAGTACAAGATCTGTGATGACAATAGCATTTGAATTTGCATTTGAAGGTACAGTGGAGCATGACTTTGATGTTTGAAGTTTTATATCTTCCTTGTGGCATTATTGGATTAGATTGTAATAGTGTGTTCGTAGATGGATGCCAATGAACACAAAATTTCTGAACTTTGCATACTCTATTTAATAGGTCAAATCAAGAGGAGTTTTAAAAATCTAGTTTTTGAATTCCGTTGTCCCGAAGTGTAGCAATTGGTCTTTTTGGGGGCTTAAAATAAATTTTTTTGCTCTCACTGGTCCTTGGTGTGTTCTTTCTTTCTTGACAGGTGTTATTTGGGAGTAGAGCTTCTCAAGTCTGGCAGTGAAGGAAGTGAAACCACCCTCAAAACCCTTTGGCATCACACAGATGCTATTATGTGCTGCGGTTTTTTAAAATTAAAAAAGCTATGACGACGTTTTTAAAACGTCGTTAAAAGTTGTCAGATGATGTGTTGCAGTATGGATCACATTTAGCGGCGTTTTTGAAAAACGCCTCCTATAAAAATTTTGCGACGTTTCTAAAGCGTCACTAAAAATTGTCATGACGTCACTTTTGCCATATATACCACATTTAGCGGCGTTTTGAAAAACGCCGTCTATAACAAATTAACGACGTTTTTAAAACGCCACAATGCTATAGCGACGGCCGCGTCCTCGACGTTTGGTGCTAAGCGTCACGAAAAGAATTAGTGGCGTTTTTGACACTTATCGCGGCGTTTTTAAAACGCCGCTAAAAGCTTAATTTCCAGCAGTGTGGCCAGAGTCACCACACACAGTGGAATAATTTCCCTGGACTAAATACACACATGGTCCCAATAATCAATACACATCAGTTTTCGCAAAACATGCTAAGCGTCACGAAAAGAATTAGTGGCGTTTTTGACACTTATGGCGGCGTTTTTAAAACGCCGCTAAAAGCTGAATTTCCAGCAGTGCTTCTCTTTTATATTTCTTTTCTTTCCTTCTTATTTTCAAGAGTATTTGTAGAGGATTGGTCATTTTTTGGTACCATAGTAGGTCTAAGGATGAGAATTTACTTACGAATACATAGTTTCAAATTTTTTGCTCAATTTTTATTTGCAAAGATGCTTTCAAATAAAAAAAAAGGGTTCTGTGAACATATGGGCTCTGTATTTTATAATGGATTATAATGAACAGTTTATTTTACTTTTGTTAACTGCAATTTTGAACTTCGAGGTCAGGTTTTTCAACAAGAGGAGATTGTACATCTTTTACCGTAACCTTGAGAATATGCAATGGCAATTGATTTTGGTCATTAATGTTATATTGTACTTTTATGATTTTCCAACGAGAGGATATTGATGCACCTATTTTTGCCAATATGGCAATTTTGTTCTTCAGGGTTGTGAAGAAAGAACCTGCACAGAAACCTTTTTCATACCTCAAATTATTTAGCTGTTTGTTTCCTTTAATATATCCCTTTCCCAGATCAACGAGGATTATCCGGTGATAAATGTTGTTTACAATAAAATTATTTATATTGATTGTCCCTGCCTTATTGATTTGGCCATCTTAGTTTTTAGATTAGAAACACTCTCCGAAAGGCAGAGGGAAAATCTTTACCAGGTGATTATTTATTTTTCTACTTGTTTTCCATGTCCATTAATTTGCTCGATGGAAAACTGTCTCTCTTATTTATTTTTTTATTTGCTTCTGTGTTTCTGTAGGTAAGATAGATAAAATCATACATAACCCAAATTTACATTTTTGGTGTTTTTTTCTACATATAACAGGAACATGGTAAATGTAATTAATGTTTCTAATATTTCAAATATTTGAATGTGTGGACCAGTGAGGAAAATGAAGATGGAACTCTTGCCTTAGTGAAAGCAACAGAGAAGGCTCTTCAGGTGAGCGACAAGGGCCCTAAATCTATAATCAAGGGAACAGCTAAATCTGGGGCAGAGTATCTTGCATCTCGATCTTATCACGGTCTTGACATTCAAAGCAACAGTTCCTTGCCAGAGCCCTTTTTAATTGGTAGAACCGGGAAGGCTTTAGGGTATGAGGATGAGAAAAGCAAGCAAGAGAGCTTGCCATGACTGCCAGTGAAAACTGTGTGTGTGTGAGAGGGAGAGAGAGGGAGAGAGAGAGAGAGAGATGGGAAAGATCACCCATAGAGGTATCAGTATTTTTTTTTTTTTTTTTTTTGGGCAGGGAAATCGGCCTAGCCTATACAATTTTGGGACCAGTTTGTTTATGTTGAATTTGGGAGGAAAGAAAATATTAGGGTTTATTAAAATTGAATATGCAAAACACTGAATTAGGTTGACAATGTCCAAATTTGAAGCATGAATAAAGTTAGGCCATTTGCAAATGGTTTGGTCAATTGTTTCCTTTGTATTGATTGGCCAATTATTATTTGAGACTCAGGACAACTAAAATTAATTGCCTATATAAAATTTCATTTTTTATTAAAAAAAAAAGCTAGGTCCTAAAATTAGGTTCTAGAATTTTCTCAGAATAGGTATGTGGTGAAAATTAGATTGATAAAATATAGAATTCATAAGTGAAATGAATTTGATTTAAATAAATTTAAATTTGTAGTCTTGTAGTTTTTTATTATAGTGATACTAGGTAGTCTAAATTTTTAGTGGCCTAATTTTGCCCAAATGATGTAGCTTTGGTGATGTGGTGGTGAAAATAAATTTTTATTTATTTTTATTTTTATTTATTTATTTATTTTTTTCCTTCAAGATACTAAACTTAATTGTTGTTAATAATATATGATTTTTTGAGATATTTTATCAATTCTTTTTCTACTAAATTTTATATCTTTAATAGTACTAGTATTTAATAGACTTTGTAGAAAATTACAACGTTGTTGACAATTTGCAATCAGTACTAATAATTAATTATGATCTAATAATAGATCTTGAATATAAAAGTGGTGATAAAAACTCATACAAAGGAAAATTTATTACTTCTTATAATTTAAAATGCTTTGATTTTAAGCCCATTATACTCCCAAAATAATAACGGTATCTAAAGATTTTGACTGTTACCTAAACATACTGGGCTTTGGCGTTGACAAGTTCCCAGTTTACAGAGGTGGCTAACCAGGGCTTTGGTGTTGGCAAGTTTCAAGTTTACAGAGGTGACTAACCTTAACATTAACCTTTCCTTCTTTAGATCAGGTCCAGTACAGAATTGTTTCGTTTCCTATCTCAAACCGTAACTTCAGAAACTACTTCTTTGGTTATGTAGGAGACTGTTAAGTTGTTAGAGTATTGTTTGCTCTAAAAAGACTTGAGAATCAGATTTCTTTCTTACTTTGAAGTATACTTTAAGTAATCTGTCTCCCTCTTTCTTTCCCTTAAGGCTTTCATATAGACACCTTGTGGTTTTTAAATCTTGATTTCAACCTAATCTATGAACATAAAACATTTTACACATTATATTTTATTGTTGTTAGAAGACAGACAAAAGATAAGTAAGGAGGTGGTGTGTGCGGTCACATGATGATCACATATTATTTATGAACGAGAGACATCTGGTGGTGTAGTCTTCTCAGCCCATGATTTTGCCAAACTGCCTATGATTTTGTCAATCCATTCCATTCTCTAAATTCCATACCCCTCATCACCTATGAAAACCATCAAATCAACTATAAAAAAAAAAAGAAAAAAAGTCAACTAACTTTCCAAACATAATTATTTTAACCAACCTAAAATAATTTTAAAAAAAATAAAATAATAACTAAAATAATTAACTTCCTAAATAAGGCCATAATATGTACAGGGATTACTCCGTCAGTGCCCAACGAAGTCAGTCATCGTAGTTTTTCAAAATATGAAAGTCAAAACATAGAATAGAAGAGTCTGCTCTATTCTATTGGTCCACATAGAAGTAAGTTCTTCTCTCCTCCAATGGAGTTATTAACTATTCTTGGGACATGGTGAAGTGGCCCTATGCCGAGAACTTATTTTTTTGCTCTTGAGATAGTTTCATGTTATATTCATTGATTAAAATTCTAAGATTTAATATTTTTTGTTAGGTTGGTAGGGAATAACTTGATAATGTGTCAAGTGATAAATAGTGTAGAGCAATATTCTAAGACAACTAAATAATTACCCCCTTATGCCTCAAGAAGGTTATGATAGGTCCAGCAGGAGATTAATCTACAATTTTATATTAAGATATGATAAAATAGTAAGAGACATGACAATTAAAAATTGATTGATAACAATAACACGTGGTATCCTAAAACACCTTATAATTTTTGCCATGGATTATCTCTTAGCCTGAACTGTTATTGTCTTTTGACTTGCATAATTGGGACTTTTACAAAGTCCAAAGATGATGGCAAGTAGGTGGTGTTGGTGGTGAGAGACGTTTGGTAGTGATCACTATTTGAATTAGTTGATATATAACTATTTGAATGGTCCAATGGAGTGGTTGGCCACTAAAAAGCATAATATTAATTAAAAAATAAAAGGAAAAAGATAAATGAAAACTTAATAAAATAGTTTATTAGGTCGTATTTGGTAAAAATAGCACAATGCTCTTAAATTGTGTGTGATGGCTTCTATATTTCGAGCAAGGATCCTCTAGAGTATTTTTTTCCTAAAGTTTTCTAGAGTGGTGCATTGTGTGGTTGAAATTTAATGACAAGTCACATCAA